CGCCGCCCTCGCCGCCGCCGTCCTCCGGCGCTGCCCGACGAGGAACCCGCGCAGACACACTCCCGTTCTGCGATCGACCCTCGTTGCGCACGCTTCAATCCATTTGCATCGCGTGCCCTTCCAACAGTGACGTTGGGCGGAATTGCTAGGGTTGTCAGTGTAAGGAAATCATACAATACTCATCAGTTTATGCCCTTATTTGCTCTGTGTAAAGTAACTTGACTAACCAGGATTATATTGCAACCTATTGAATCAGGTACTTAAAATATCAAAGATTGATTTTGGGTAAATTATTACACAAATGTTATCCCGTATTAATTCGTCTTCTATTTCTAATGAGACCAATGTTATACAGCAGACTTATGTTCATTCAACTACTAGTATTTTGGAGTGGTATATTCCTATATGTTCCAGTGGATAGCCAAGGCAAGTCCAATCACCAATGTCCCGCCTCAAGAATTCCATTCCTTAGGCTCAAATTTCTTGAGTTATTTTAGCAAATACAAGTATATTACGAAGAAACATTTTTCTTTCAGATGTTCTGCAAATGCTGCTCCCGCATGGACTGTTTCTTTTAAATAACATTGTAAGAATGCATAAAGAAGACTTATGTCCTTCCTCACATTCGTATTCTTTCCGTGCTCTATTTTCCCATAGCGCATGCCCTCCTTGAGAGACTGGGCGTTTCCGGCGGCTTTAAACGTCTGTTTTACAGCCCCCGGGGCGAGAGTCTCTCCGGCGGCGGAGCACTCGCTGACGGACACCTCTTTCTGTGTTGCAGGCGCTGAGCCCAGCGCCGCGGGGCGCTCGCCGACTCCGCTTCGCTGACGCAGCCCCCGCCCCCGCCCTCGCAGCCGCCCTCGCCGCCCGCCGTCCAACGCCGCCGCCGCCGCCATGCTGAAGCACGTGCACCTGAGCCCGCTGCGCAGCCGTGCCGACACGCTCAGCCTCAGCTCCACGGCCTCCTACAGCAGCCTCAGCCCCGAGCCGCTCAGCAGCCGCTCCAGCAGCTACTCGTCGCTCAGCGAGGCCGCGCCCACGGTAAGTTGCATCCAAATTCAGGGCCCAATGTCCGATATAATTATTTTCTTTTTTTGGGGGGGGGGAGCGCAAATAATTTCAAATATTATTCAATATAACAGCTTCAGCAGAAACACAAAACAAATTAAATGCAATTATATGAACACAAGGCACAAACGTTGTAACCGTTATCATCGTGGGTTAATAAATTTATCTGAGCAAAAAGTATCGCTCTCGCCTGACAATTATTTTATGAGACAACCCGCTTGACGCGAATGAGTTGCAAGCTTTCGTGTTGCAGCAACCCTTGCAATTGTCATTCCACACTTATAAAATGATACGTTATTATGTCCGAGATTCTAAGCGGGAAGGGAGTGGAAGAACAAGGAGATGAGAATAAAAAAGATGTTGAGGACAAAGGAAAAAAAGAAGATGTAGGAGGATGAGAAGATGGAAGAAAAGAAGATGGAGAAACGTCCGTAGCAAACGATACAAATAAAAAGTATGACCAAAAACAAAGTAAAAAGCGATTTTGTGTTAGACTATAACGTCCAGCAATAGGTAGCATATTTGTACCAGGCAAGAAATACGGGAAACGGGAAGATCTACCGCTTCCGGGTAACCCGATTTGCTGAAGAGGGCGGGCACTGTATGAAGTTGAAGAGAGCGTTTTCTCTGTGGAAAAGAACGCATATTTGGGGGTAATTGAATGGTACATTTTCAAGAATCCGTTTCCTTCGAATAAAGTCAGTGGGGTTAGAATTATATCAATGAGAGCAAATGACGAAGGAATATATTCCTTTTGTTTTCAAACTTTTTATAATAATTTACTTATGTAGATTTTCCATATTTCGGATATATGTAAATTTTACGCCAGATACTTTGTTAATAAAGTAGGCAATTCCTAGGCGGTGGTTAATATTCTGTAAGATTTCAGATATTTTCTTGTTCTCAACCGAAAGCCGTTATGTACTGGAAAAACTGTGGCATTCACAATATTTTGTCTACCCTATGGTATTATCTTAAACACGAAACATAAATTACAGTATTCGGCGTATTTTTGACTGTGAGGAACTATGAGGAATAAAATGTTCAGTGAAATAATGTAATTGACCACCACGAATGATTCCTATAATATTATTCAAATATCGCAAATAGTCTGAAAAAAGATCTATTCGGAAAATAATTTTCTACCTGAAAGGCCTTCTCCAGTCTATAACATTCGAAAACTGTGACCACTGTAGCAGCCCGCCACTGCAC